ATAATATATATATATAAATTAAAAATTAATACAAAAGTTAATGTAAAGTAAAATGTCTATTAATGTATATACATTATATTAGGAAAGACCATATATGACGGAATTAAAAAATTATTTAAAACTATTTTATATTATAAATTTTGTATCAATAGTGGTTTTGACAATGAGCCACCGTTGACATTAATCACTGTTGCTCTCTGATGAGGTTTCCCTTTTACGTTTCTTTTTCTTTTTATGTTTAGACTTTTTCTTTCTTTTTTTATGTTTATGTCGTTTCTCTGCCTTTCGCTCTTCCTCATCTTCTTCCGTAGATGAACTATCAGATTCCGTATCGCTTGATTTAGTTCTCTTTTTTTTCTTCGAACTTTTCTTATTTTTCTTTTCCTTGTGTCTCTTTTTCGCTTCTTTCAATTTCTTTTTTAATTCTTTTTCACGCAATTCTGTTAATGGTGTAACATAGTTTTCATCGCTGTTTGAACTGGTACTACTTACATCTAATACGATTTCTTTGTTTGGATCAACTTTAATAAAATTGCGACACTGATAAGTCAAATGTCCTGCGTAACCACATTTTTTGCAAGCAGGTCTTGCATGATCTTTGTTTTGTGGCACCAATCTTGATAGAAATTCTGGATCCATAAGATTGAAGGTAGTTGTAAATCTAATTAAAAAGATAAGCTTTGAAGAATAAATTAAAAAACGATATATTATAATAGTATAAAAAACTATCAAAAATAATAAGAGATATGTAGTACATAATACATTATAATTGATCAATAAAAAATATATATTTCCAAATTAATATAATACATTTAAAAATTACAAAAGTCTAATGTGATGCTTAGAGAAGCATTCTAAAAGTTAGGCTATGAGTGTAAACAATCGTAAGAGTATTTTCTTTAAAATAACAAATATTTACTCACAAGCAAATTTTTACCGGTTAATTAACTTCTCCTTATTTTTTACTTTCATTTAATATGACAAATATAATTCATTTCAACTACATAATTATTAAAAATACTTGCGGTTGTTCGTATAAATTGCATTATTTTTTTTGCTACTACAGCAGTGCCATCTATCATCCTATTAACGATTTAAAATGCATTTCTTCGTGATCTGTTTTATCCGAAACAGATTTCGACTTTATCATATATAAAAAGGAAACATACGTATAAAGTAATCGCAAGAAATAAAAACAAGTGCCTTTTTATTACAACATTATAAAATCTACATATATTTACACAAATTACAATAAAATATATTCATAAAACGAGGCGCTGCATTTGAAGGAATACGACGTTGTTCATCGCGTCAGCCATTTTTACGGAAAAATACATCAATGCAAAAAATACATTCAAGTAAAAAATAAATACATTTATGATCACGATAGTAGATAGATAAATAGATAGATTACTTCCGGTGTCACATAGAAATATTTATTAGGGACCCTATAGGGTCCCTAGTATTTATGAGATTCTATTTTTTTTACCAAATAAAATACTATCTATTTTTTCCCATGTGAATAATATGGTGTTTTAACATTTGTATTCTAGGCTACTATTGGATTACGTTTTTTTTTGTTTTTTTTTTCTTTAAATATCTTTTGAGTAGATCTCCATTACAAGATCAAAACTGACAATCGAATAGTATCGTTTGCGATCGCCATCTTGGCAATATTATAGACATTTATTTTAAAACATGACACCGATGATATATTCTGTTTGTTTTTTTTTCTCTCTTTTTTTTGGTTGTTTTTTTTACTATTTTTTCTATTTCTTTTTTACTTTATAATTTTTGTAGTTTTTGTTTCTTAGACAATTAAAAAAAGCCGATATTACGACTTAAAAGCATGCGTTTTCAGATTACATATAATTGTAATGTTGAGAAGCAAGTGTGTCGACGTTTTTTTCATGGCGTCAATAACTTTCATAAAAAGTCCATTATTAATTTGGTTGAACATAAATTCGACGAAATGTTATATCGACGACAATGTATCAAACCACGTATAATCTGAACTGAAAATTTCATTGTTTCTTTTTTTATTTTCTTTTTCTTATAAGGAAAGTAGTACGCATACGAGTTACAAGGACATATTCCATTTTTTTCTCCTTCTTCTTCCTTTTCTTTTTATTTTTTTTATTTTTAATTTACTCCATACACATAGCAAGATCATTTACGATCACTTAATAAATATACAGATAAAACGATTTACGCATTATTGTGTATTCGTGGTCCTCAAGTTTAGAATATAGCAGCTACACGAGTTTTACGCATACGACCAATTCGATCGATTTTACATCATAATAAGTTTATAATCGAACGAAACGTCGTTATAGCTTATTTTCATTTTTTATTTTTTTTTTTATTCTATTCTACGTTATATAACTTTTAATACTTTAAATACATATATCAATTTTTTCATTTCGAATATGGTTTAACAATTTGGATCATTTTTTTTTTTACACACAATATGTATGATTTAAAGATATAAATTTTCTAACTACGCAAATGTCTATGAATGAGTTCTTCGTATGATTAGACATAAGTTTTTTTCATTTATAATTAAGTTTGTTAGATTTCTAAAGGAGCGTCATTCTTATGGGTCTTGTATTTTTTGTTTGTTTCAGTTTCATTGATTTTTTTTCATTATTTGATTAATCTTACAGTTGTAGAGAGATTTTTTTCTTATTTTGTTTTTATTTATTTCTAAATGAACAATAAAGAATAGAGCGAAGTAGATATATTTCACTTTTCATTTGTTTTTTAGTTTTAGAATTACACATATATTTGTTCTAAGTTTATTGTATTGAGTATAAGTACGTGTAAGTATCCAATTTTTTGTATTGTTTTGTTTACTTACGAATTTAAAAATTCTTTTCGAGTTTATGTTTGACCATTGTCACAAACTTATTACAGAGATATTAATTACGGTTGTATAAATATATTTAGGCAATTCACAATCAAGAACTGATTTTTAATTACAAACAAGATTAAATAAATCTTCGATGACAGAGGAAGCTTAGAATATATTTTTTTTTTTCTAACATAAGTTCAATGCGAGTTAATAATTAAGTATAATTGGACAAATATCGCATTCAACGATATTCTACGTGCTTTTGTTATTCACGATAATTTTGTTTATTGTTTCTTTTTCTTTTTTTTTTTTTATGTTTACACGTGCATCATATGATACACTCGTAGGCTTTATTTTTATACATTAACCGTGCAAGAATATTTGTAATAGTAATTTATTTTTATATAATATATATATATAAACAGAAATATTTATTATCTTATACAAATATAAATTGTATTATTAAGATAATGTAATTTATTGTTTCTTTTCTTTTCTACATCGAGAAGGATCATAAATTTAAAATTAGTAAAAAAAAAACAAAATTAAAAAAAATAAAAAAGGATCGTAGAATTTATTATAAATTTTAAATTTTTTGTTTCCTTTTTTTTGGACGGATGTCGTGTCGGTTTTGAAGAAAAAAAATCCGATCAAATTGTATCAATTTTAACCGACAACGTGGATGAGGAGATTATTATAAATAAAAATTATATTACTCGAAATAATTTAATTGAAATTCTTTGATATAGTCCGAGTATTTTGTAATATCGATTAGTACCTCTTACAGGTGTGTATGCGTGAGCCGTATACACACATTTTTTTGTATATAACTTAATTATAATTATTTTAACTTTACATTTATATCGTAACAGTCAGTTATACATACACGCACAAACACATACGCACACACAAACACACACTATGAACCGACAGTTTTTTTTTTTGCCAATAATTTTTTCGATTAATTGTAAATTTTTAAATTAGAGCATGATCGCTTATTATTATTTTTTATTTCTTTTTATTTTGTTTATTATTGTAGTGCGTAATATCTTTCTCCAGCCTTGTTGTACGTATTAAAATTTTATCCTTTGATGAAAATTACTCTGTACATGCTCTTACAATTGTAAGTAATGCTTGTTCGATACAGAAAATAAATTGGCGGTGATGTATTTGAATATATTTGAATTTAATGTATAATAAAAAAAAAAAAAGGAAAAGAGAAGACAAATGAGATACAGAAAAAAATCATCTTTAAGACTCGGGAAGGAGATATTACTCACTGTTGACCAAAAATAAATTAAATTCGAAATTTCTTGGTAATGAATTTTCGTAGTGTAATGTAACTGTAATTACGTGTAACATGGATACAATAATCTCGTGTAACGTGACCAGTTTTATTTTTATCTTCAATTTTTGAAAATTCGTATTTTCGATAAATCCTTTCGAAACAATGAATATTGCTTTTTCTTCTTACAAAATATTAATTAATTATTTTTTTTTCTTTTTTTTCTTTCTATTACATACAATTACGCATAAATTTGTACGATTAAAAAGAAGAAAGTTTTCTATAGTTTATCTCGAAGAAAGAAGAGAAGAAAGGAAGAAAGGAAGGAAAGTTTGATAGTAATCAATTATTAATTGGTCACGTTTCATTGCTTATTTGGTCTTCTTCTTGTGTATTATATATTTACATATAGTTTAAGTGCAGTAAGAAGTAAAAAGTGATCGGTAAAATGTAATAATACGACAAACTTGTTTTCTGAACCTGGTCCCGTTTCTCAAGTCGTACGATCGGTTGATCGTTTAATTTTTTATGCGATTTTATTTACCAACTAATAAGTGAAATTGCATTGGTGAAACTACCATGAGTTATCATGTGTTGAATATGAAAGTTGTTTGTTACTTATATATATATAAGGTATCCCATATAACTATATTCAAGATTTTTCAAGTATTTACGATAACCTGACAAAAATATACTTTAAACAGAAGTTGAACTGTTTTTGATTGACTATAAATTGCAAAAAACAAAAATTTGAAAATACCTATATTGACCTTACAATATTATAGCCGTATTAATACGAATTCAACGAACTAGTACATCATGTATCATAGTATATCATGTATTAATGCGTGCTATAATATTGTAAGGCCAAAAATATAGGGTGCCATTTAAAAAAATAAAGATACCCTTAAAAAACATTAAAAAAAAATTTTTTCAAACTTCTTTTTATTGCAATGTATAGTCAATCAAAAACACTTCAACTTTTGTTTAAAGTATTTTTTTGCCAGGTTATCGCAAGTACTTAAGAAATCGCGAATAGAATTATATGGGACACGCTGTATATATATATGTAATGTATAACATGTATATTTATATACATGTATATACGAATGCATACATACATAACTACGTACATACGTATACATGTCGTATGTATTTGATCATATCTAACATTGTGATCACAGATTGATAGAAGGCATGTGTAAAGTATAATATTTAAAGATTATACAGTCATGAGAGAAAGATAGGAGTAAAACAGAACCTTGAGTATCCGAATTAATATAAAATCATAATTTTTGTTCTTATGAAAGAGAATTTTGACTACATTTCTCCATCATTTATTTAATATAATATGAAGTATTTCTTTATTTTTCCGGTTGATTCTGTTAATAATCATATTATGATAGTTTCAAAGATTTCAACCCTACTCGTGTTTCATTAAATCAGTTATGGTTTTTTAAAATATTTTTGTTGTTGTTGCTTCATCTCTATAATTATTTTTAAAATTACACAATTCCTTTTCGATGGTATTACATGTAAATTATAAATGCGTTAGATATTAATTTCATACTTGATGTAATAGGAAAGATATAAGAGATATTGTATAAAACATGTATTATCTCTAGAATTATTTGTTTTCATAATATAGATGACAAAAACAGTAAAATTGTATACATTAGTGTTCGAATAATAGAGCTATGCGAATAGTAAAACGTTTCAAATACTATATCATCGGATACTAGAGGTTCCACCGTATTATTGTGTTTATATACGTGTAATTTATGGATATCTACTTTATATCAATTTTATTTGTTATATTAAATTGTCCAAAAGATTTCTTATCTTTTTTTTTGTTTTCTTAACAAATTTTATATATGCATTTATAGTTTCAAATTTATATTATATTCGATTAATTGTAAAAAAAAAATAAAATACTATCCATCTTGCTATATTAACTTCCTTGTTATTTCATAGATCTCAGTGAAATGTAAAATAAAAAAATAAAAAAAATTTTTATTCATGTATAAAATTAATAAAAAAAGAAAGCAAGAAACTTTACACGAAACAATTTAGAAAATAAAATTTGATTTTTCTTTCAATTTGCGAAAAGATAAATTAAGAGAGACAGAGAGAGAGAAAAAGATTGATTTGATTATGTTGATTTGTTTCTTTTTTTTTTTCATTGAAAATATCTCATCGCATAATATAATAATAATANTAATAATAATAATAATAATAATAATAATAATAATAATAATAATAATAATAATAATAATAATAATAATAATAATAATAATAATAATAATAATATATTCGACCACGAAGTGCAGATAAGAAGCATTTATTTTATGGACGGAGCAAATGTTTTTTTTTCTCGTGCAATAAATATAAAATCGTGCTTGTGAAATTGACCGAAATTAGAGTTTAAAAAAATACGAAGATCAAAATCATTTATGGATCTCGTCCTTTTTTTTTTACATTTCTTTTCTTTTTTCTTCTTCTTCTTCTTCTTCTTCTTCTTCTTCTTCTTCTTCTTCTTCTTCTTCGGATTTAAAAATAGAGCAATAATGCAAATATAACAGTATCGAATTATCTGCACGCTACCTGTATGCATACCCGTATGTGTAATCATAGAATGAATTCTTAAAATGAAAAATTATCGTGTGCCGTAAATTTGCACGTGATGTGATTAAAAAAAAAAATATGTTATTAATATTAATAAAAAATAATTACTTTTAACTTTGTCATATACGATTGTATGATTTGCACGAATTTAGTCGAATTTATTTGAAATTTTTTTTTTAACAAATATTCGTAATAAGTATTATTGTATTAAAAAAGTAATATTTTTCTTTTGATTATCGATTGGATAATATTAAATTGGTTAATATTCAATATCATCGTTTGCAACATTTTATATTTAAAGAAATATCGTATTTTGCATATTTGTCGTTGTGAAATAATTTCGAAAAATGATTCATAAATCTTAGCGTTACCTGTCTTAATCTTGTCCGAATTTTTAATTTTTATTTTTGTTATACTATTAAATCTTATAATTCATAAGTACACGGATATGTAATCATCTTTTCGAATATAAGTTAAAAAAAAAAAGATTTCTATTTTATATATTGAACACAATAATAGTAGCGATATGTAAAATTGTAAAACGACAAGATTTCGTGAAGTTTTGTAAATCCGATGAAACTTGTTAAGAAAGTTTTTCATACAAATTATACATCATAAAAATAATCGTCACGTAATTTGAACGATTTACTTTCTTTTTTATTTCTTTTTTTCTTTTATTTATTTTTATTGCAACCCTGACAGTGTGTAGTGCATTTTGCGAGACCACGTTTTTTTTAGCGATCTTCGATGATATATATATATAAATGCCGACAACAAAAAAATTACCCTCGACTAATAGGCGTGCACGAAATAATATTAAAAGAAATACTTTATGCGTCCGTTATATTCAAAATAACTCGTTTACGAAAGTATTCAAACACGGATAATAATGTTTAAAATATCTTCCAGGTAAAATACGGATTTTCGTCGTTTATTAATATCACGATTATTTCGACTTGAATTGAAAATGAAATTTAAAAATGATTAAAAAGTATTCAAAAGTAATATCGCTACATTCTTGATCCACGTCGTACCGATTCATTTGCCACTGCTTTACGATAAAACGAGAATTAATTTTAATCTCGATCGAATAATATTTAAAATGTGTATTATATTATGTTTGAAATAGAAAAATCTTATTATAGGAGAAAAAATAACCAAAAAAAAAAAACAAAACAAAAAAACAAATTAAATATTATAAATATAACATTTCGAGGTAAAAGCTTACATTGATTACAAACGATTTTCTATTAAAAAAGAAAAAAGAAAAAAGAAAAAAGAAAAACCAGAAAAATTGAATAACGTTGAAAAAAGTTATTGTAAAAAAAAAAAGAACAAATAAATAATCATATTATAATTTTTTTAAAGTCACAAAAGAGTATATTATAAACCGTTTTCGTTTATAATTAAAAATAGGAACGTCTCAAGATAGATTTAATCCAAGAGATCGAACGTTTGAAAGAAGAAAGTTACGTATCAGTCCCTTTAAAAGCTTACGAATGCCCTTTTACGAGTGTTTTTTCCCTTCCTTCCTACCTCCCTCTTTCTCCTTCCCCCCTTGTTTCCCTTCGATACCACGAGACCTGCGCCGCCGCCACAATTTCAAGCGTAACGATCGGATCGATGAGACTAACTCTACTACTCGACTTCATTCTTCAAACTTCGAAGATCCGAATAGGCGGTTTTTACGGTATACAACCTTAAGGTACATTGTCCTAAATTACTTTCGTTTAAAACGTGGGAGTGTGTGTAAGAGAGAGAGAGAGAGAGAGAGAGAGAGAGAGAGAGAGAGAGAGAGCGTATTTAAACGATGGACGTTTCATTCCCATTCCCACCCCTCCATCCCACTCGACTTAACTCGTCACGAACAAAACACACACCCTTCCTAAGTCAAACTTTTAAAACTCTTTCTCTTAAAAATACTATCTAAATGCGACTAGGAGGTTTTGTCGAAAAAAAATAACAAAAAAAGAAAACACCAAGTGGGGTAAAGACAAAAATAAAAGAAAAAATAAAAGAAAAAGAGAACGTAAATGTGTAGTTATACGTGAATGACATTGTCTTCATTCGTTCTTTGTTCTTTCTCATCTTACTACAAATTTTTAAGTTAAATTAATAAAAAATTAAGTTAGATCGAATATTAAACATTGAACGTATTTATTTTTTATGCCTTATTTTAAATTGTCAAATTATTTATATATATAGATATATATATATATATATATATTAATCATAAAATTAATGTATTATTTTTTAACTTTTGTAATTAAATGTCACAACTGTTGGACGCGCATAGTTCTTATTTTTATTTTTCTTATTAATATTTTTTCTTTTTCTCTCTCTGTAATTATTTACTCTGTAATAATCGAAAATAAAAAAGTTTTTTTTAAATTTTATTATCGAGTGCGAATGAACAAAATTTTTCTTCAAGGATCTTAACAATTAGATCGATCAATTGATTAGGATAATTAAAAATATTTTAAGAAAAAAACAAAAAAAAGAATATTTGAAATTTTTAGATGCCAATGGGGCAGCGTGGAGGAGGAGGGGTTGAAGGACGGCCTTGTCGTGAATCAAACTAATAACTCTTCGAATCTCTTTTTATCATTGAACGATCAAAGAAATCGGACGGAGCCACGCGCGTTCGAATGGAATTATTATCAATGAGGGAGGGTTTTATAATCGATATTTATATTTAGATTAGTTTTTCTTTTTTGATAATCATCGTTTTTTTTCCATTTTTTTTTCCTTCGAACGCGAATATATTGAGTACAATTAATTATTAAGGACAATTGTTTATATATATATATATATATATATATATATATATATATATATATTTATAAAAAAATTGATAACCATCGATCGAAGGTGTGGTAATAAAATTAAAAAAAAAAAAGAAAAAAATTGAATTCTTCAAATTAAAAGTAACTCTTATTACATCTTTGAAGGTATTTAACATTTTCCTGGTTAAATAATAATAATAATAAAAAAATAATAATAATACGTAACTCGAAAAGCTTTTAGTATTTTTTTTGTTTTTTTTTTTAACCGTAAGGAAGCAAAGAAAAAAATTATAGACAGACAAGAGGGCCCTGCAGAGTAGTTTGTTTGAAATAAGCATCTGTTTTAGTTAGTCAAATCCGTCTTAAAATTGTCTATGCGTCTCTTCTCTTTCTATTCCATCTTTTTTTTTCTTCTCTTCTTTTTTTGTTTTTTTTTTTTCTTGTACACGTTAGTAATCGTTAACAAATCCGTTTGTAACTTATTAGATTATGATGATATGAACCCGTCAATTTTTTAATTTTGTGTATGTACTATCTTTGCTTCTATATAGAAAAATTAATAAAAAATAGTAAAAGATAAAAAAAGATAAACTTCGTGCGGAAAGTAGAAATTATGAACGTTTCACCGAGTGTTTGGGCATTTCCGAACTTAAAGTCAGAACAGCTAATATCATCGTGTGTGTTAGCGCAAGCGCACTCAAGTGCAATAAAACCTTCGTATATATATACATATTCATATATTCATAAATTCGAGTGAAAATAGAGGAGAACAAGATGTTTGAAAGTTCGTCTTCTAAGTTTAAGTTTTATAGACAAATTTATTTTCCCCACAGTCGATACCAGACGTGAGAAAGAAAGAGAAAGAGAGAGAGAGAAAGAGAGAGAGAGAAAGAGAGAGAGAGAGAGAGAGAGAGAGAGAGAGAGAGAGAGAGAGGATAAGAAAAACAAATGCTTGATTTAGATTACTGCATAAGAAGAGTGGTGTGTGTATTATACACCACTACCATCACACCACCGATCAAAAGTTTGGATCTGCGTCAACTAAAATTGATAATTTCTTATCGTAACAGATGTGTTACTATAAGAATATCTATCGCAATATATCACCTACTATTTCAAAATTCGTAAATAGAATAAAATACTAATACTTGTAAGTGTAAAAAATAAAAAAAAACCTAGTGTTCAGTAACGTAAAGACAATTTTTGTATAATTTTCAACAAAAGATTACTATTATACTTAATATGATACGAGTAAATGTGATGAATTATTATTTTTCTATGACGCACAGTAGTTAGGGTCATTTTTTAAGTAAAAAGAAAAAAGAAAGGAATGAAAAAAAAATGAGAAAAAAAGGAATGTAATTTTAAAATATGACAATAAAATATAAACAAAAATATAAAATATTGACAATAAAATATATACAACAATATAAAATATTGACAATAAAATATATACAACAATAAAAAATATTGACACAATTGTTCAAAAATTGTTGTTGTACGTAATTTTAGTAATGTCAATGTAGAAAAACGTAGACTAAACATTTTCAATCGGTAATTTACGTTTATATGGAAGGGGCTTTTTATGGGGGGAAGTAGAAGAAGAAGAAGAAGAAGAAGAAGAAGAAGAAGAAGAAGGTTGTGCACGTAAAATATTAAGAGGAGGAAGAGCAAAATGAGGAAGAGGGAAATAAAGCTAACGTTTAACAAGAAGCCGTTTTAAAGTTCATAAACTTCACGTCCGTTGGGTCTGTTGACCGTAGGTCTACAGGAAGCTGGACTCGCATAAGAATGGATGATGTGAACCCTTAAACGCACGTCGCTAGGATTTCTCCCAGTTTCGGCACGAGTTCTTCTTGAAAAGTTCACGGTAGTTTTGCAACAACAATAATGAAATAATTTAACGTATGCACTACGAAAATGTCGATTTGCAACACAATATAATAGATTATTGAAACATGGTTTCGAAAATGCTAACCAAGCTAGACCGTATAAAACGTGTGCACTCATTGGTCGAAATGAATTCATGCATACAGCCGTACCAAATGGTAACCAAAATATTATAAACATTAGACAACTGTAGATATTCGCTTTAGTTAATTCGTAATCCCATGAATATGTAATGTGTGGTTTATAGGATCCCCTTGTTGTTCGTCTAACGCACAATATTAATATTGCATAAAGAAAAATAGTTGTTACTGCTGGTAAACCTATTAATATCGTTACACCAATTACTTGTTTCATCGTAATACCGCCAAATTTTCTTAAACAAAAATCTGGTCCGTCTTCTATGTATGATTGAAGGCTCACTGCTATAACAGCGATTACCCAAATGCCGATCAATGTGCCTGTCACTCGGCTCGTTGTTAAAATGTTGTACCTGCGGGGAATCCATTAGTATAAATATTCACAATTTATTTATTTCAAATTGATTGATTATTTATATATATGTATATACTAGGATGCTTCGGCCACAAGTAGCTGTGGTTTTGTTATAAAATGTTGATTTAATATAATTCAAAACTATTTAGTAAATTATATAACAACACAAAAAAATATCATAATTACAATGAAATACATAAAATAATAATACACGAAAAAATATAAAAACCAAGATTAGTTATGTCATATGTAAATCCATATATGTAATACTCCTATATGGACAGTTTCCATAAGTGGAAGCTGTTCCGATAAAGTGAGACAGATAATGTCACCTTCTCTATCCWCCGAGCTTCCAACTCAGTTCTGCGCACCCTTTGTGCGCATATGGGAAATAATAATAATTATTAATAATAATTAGTTGTTGAAAATAAAATATTGATAAATTAAAATCACAAATTTTTAAAAATTTAGGATTATTTTTCTGAATTATAATAATGAATAATACTGTAAACACARTTTTAACCACAAAATTATTCTCCAGTTTATGTCCCCACTACTGATATTTTAGAGAAATTTCAAGCATGCGCAGATTGGACAAAGTGTTTTGGAAGAGAGAGAAAATAAATATTGTCGGCACCGTAATGTTGGGATATTCTTTTCCGTATCAACTGCCCATATAGGAGTATTATATATATGTGTAAATCTAAAAAAAAACATGACGTGAATACATTGAAATAATTGAATTGTAATTCAGCGCTATCTATTGAAAACTTACAATACCTAAAGATCTAGATAACCTTTAATTAATAAATCCTCAAATTAGTAATAAAAAATAAAAATAATTGCGATAAAAATTATCCTATATACTAAGTTGAAAAAAATTACACAAAATAAAACAAATTTCATTAGGATCAGTTCAGTAGTTTCGAAGTTCATTGGAAACCAACAATGTGACACTGAATTTTTATGTATAAAGATATGTATGTAGATAAGAAATAATAACATAAAATTATATGTATATATAATTTTATATATAATAAATAATAATAATAATAATAATAATAATAATAATAATAATAATATATATATAAGATAATGTATAAAAGATAGTAAGATAAAACTATAAATTATATTAAGTAACTTCATATATTAAATTTAGGTATATAAATTTTATAACGATATACTTGATTATAATTCTATATAATTGAATAAATAGTAAATAAATTTTGTAATCTTAATTTTCGATAATACATTAAATAAAATTGATGTGTTATATTATGTCGCGTATAAAGTACGTAGTACTATATATCTATATATAATAATAAGCGGGGGAACAATGAAGGCATAATTTGAAAAATCTACCGTCTATGTCAGTGGTTTCCCAATGAGTGAAAATTACAGGAATATTACGACCTCCTACGTTGACTTTCATTTTACTAGGGTTGATGCTTATAATGGAATGCTTTCTTTATTTCTTTTTTTTTTGTAGCTATACGCTTATTTTACCTATCTCTATGGTAACGCGATCCCTTTTGTTTTCGAATATAGTATTTCAAACCTTTATTGAATATGAGTCCCCTTGTGACTTTGAAATCACGAAGAAACAAAAATATCCTTTTTCCAATTTATATTTAACTTTTGCGTATTCCTCATTTGACATATATTAATCTTGTTTTATAATTTTTCTTTGATTAAAAAAAAAATAATTTTACCAAATTTACTAGCAAATTTGAAGGATTAATCGAAAAATAAAAAAGAAAGTGGTTATGGTATACCATGTAAAAAAGCTAATTTAACACAAACACACACACATTTATATATATGCATTTGGAATTTGTTAGATGATTTTTATCAATGCTTACCTTTCAGGTAAACAAAGACGAGCATAATTCTCGGCAGCTATCGTGGTCAAAGTTAGCACGGTGACCAGAAAACAAATCGATTGGGCAGTCATTTCAACGCGGCAAATTGTTAAAGATTCTTCGTGTCCTGCCAAGATCACTATTACGGATGCCGGTAATACAAAACCAGTGACCAATAAGTCCGCTAAAGCAACGTTCACTAAAAACGCGTTTCCTGAAAATATGCAATTACAATAAAAATTCGTTTTGCTTTCCTCATAGTTTCAATATTAAAATTAAAAAATTAATTAAATCATTGAATATAGAAATAATTATTTTTGTATAAAAAAAAAACGAATGAAAATTTTCTTCGAAATCATTACCAGAGAAATGAAAGGGGATTGGGTGGAGGAATTCTTTTCAATATTTTACATGTTTTACAAAATGTCAAACAATTTTAGAACAATAATTTAATAATTCATGCAACTATTATAATTAATTACGATTAAATTTGTTACAGTCATGATCATTGACGACGATACATTATTTGGTACGATACAAAAATATAAAAAAACAATTAAATTAAATTAACTATATAACGATATTCTTACTAACAAACTGGAACTATCATATTTTTGTCATAATTGTTGTTGTTTTAATTTTAGAGTATGGAACCTGTTGTACAAGATCATATTATTTTAGAACGAGACCCTATTTCATTCTGAAGTTGCAGTTATTTAAAAGAAAAACAAATTTGAAAATGTGTCTCCCCCCAAAAATGGGTCATTGGCGAATAAATTTAGTTTAATTTATTTTTTCTTCGATTGAATATGATATCGATTTGTTTTTGCTTTATATGATAAAGTAATAATTATACGCGCGTTAATAGAATAATTATGCCGATGATGATGACGATGATAATGATAATATAATTCCGACGGTTTATTACCGACTTTGAAGTAGAAACGAATTTCATTCCTTTTAACGAGATCATTCATGTGGAAGATACAGTGAAGTGTAAAGCTATCGCATTTCCTTTATTCAACACAGATAGAATAATTTGTGTAGTTGTGATGGTTACGTACGTACGTAGTTTCCTAGACTATTTGTAGGTTTAATAAGTTTGATAATTGAGTAGAGCTGTTTGATAAAGAACGCCGATTAGTATAAGGTATAAACGAAAGGAATTAACGATATTATATATAATGGGAAATTTATTCTCGTTTACTTTAAAAGAACCAAAATTTAACGTGTTAATTTCTTTTTCTCTTATAAACAAATTTTTCCATCTTGTTTAGAATCCCTCGGTACTTTACTACCCCAAGGGCAATAAATTCTACTTCGAACGATCTGTTAAAAGAAAACTGAATAAAAATTATTCGACGTTCTTTGTTTTAATTCTTCGTCAGGATAAATAAATGATACATAGGAAGTATTTATTAGAACGTTATTCACATTGTGTTAACGGAATTATTATAATATTAATCTTCCTTTAATATGATTTAACACATGACGTGATTATGAATTATTTGAATTTGTACAATGGGTGTGTTGAGCTTGAAATTATATAATTATTCGAATGTTTTTTTTTAAATAGATGTTTTATTTTTTTGTTTTTTCATCGATTAAAAATAAATATAATAATATGGTATCGAATGAAACATCGTATGGTTAATAAACTATGAAAAATGGGGTTGTTCCCTGTTCGATTGTTAAGGGTATTAGAAAAAAAAATACAAACACATATACGCGATTTCAATAACGCTTTACTTTAATCGAATCCTCGAGACAAATTCAAGATGTTAACCTGGTTTCAAAGAAAACAAGGTCTATTTATGAACTCCCATTAAAATGTTCGTTTCAAAACTTCTCTTCAATTACTTTTTTTTCTTTTCTTTCGGTTATCGATATTTTTCGAGAAAAAGGGGTAATCATTTCCTTTGATATTTCGTAAATACGTCGTCGTATGTTAAATTGACGGAATAAAGCTTTTAAAAAAAAAAAAGGGTAGTGATCAAGTTTCATAATTGCGAATGAAAAAAATATTGATAGATTTCAAGATATTTACTTGTTTTTCGATCGATTTATTTATTATTACTCGTTCAATTTTAAAAACAAATAAATATTAATTACAAATAATATGCAAATGAATGGTAAATAATTTAAGAATGTCAAGACTTATTTTTTTTTTGGTCAGACTTATTGTCATTATTATTATTATAATATTATTTTTTAAAAGTAGAGGAAGTTTACCTCGTTTTTTTAATTGTTCTTCGACAACAATTGCCGATATCATGAAAACGTTTCCGACACTTCCACCAACCGCAAGAGAAGCCAATAAAAGAAGTCTAGCAACTCTGGACCAAGCTGGTGATAGGGTGACTGGTGAGACACCAAGATCTTCATCCATTATACCACTGCCAGTTTTATCCATTCTTACAGGATTCTCGAGTCCTACCAACTCGGCAAGAGTACTTGCAACACCATGAGCTACTGTTGTCACGTTCATTCTGAAACTAATAGAAATTTAGTAACATATTAGTCTTCACTTATTAATAAAAGAAAAAAAGAGCTTATCAAAAAAAACCAAATGTTACTTTTATTTCAACAAAATCTATATCAAATTGTGATAATCCTATTAATAATCTCTTATATTTTTAAACATAATAGTATTACGTTGGAAATACTTGAAGTAAATCAAAGAATTCGTTTAAAATTATAAAAAAAAATACTTTCGAATGTTTGATTAAAGTATTTTGAAAATGTTCATTTTTAACGTCAAAATGTTTAAAATCAAATAGATTTTCTTGTGTAAAATCGTATAAATGATTGATTCAATTTTGTAGATATAATTATTATCCTTTTCGTTATTTGTTGTTGTTGTTTATATATAAGAGTTTAGAAAATGTCATAATTCGTAAAGAAATTGTCAGGAAGGAGAACGAAGTGATCTGCGATATTAGAGATTATTAAACGCTTGGACTATTAAGCTTATGAAGATTACGAGTGACAAGGACGTAGTCGATGAGTCTGTTATTGATCGAAACCACTCGTTCGTTAGGCGTTCATATACTTGACTCCGTAATTCATACGATCACGAAAATCTTTAAGGAAAAATATCAACGATGAGATAATTTCAAAGAAAAAAAAAAGGAAAAGAAAAGAAAAATATTTAATTATTAGATAAGAATAACGTTAATTAATCATATTAATTTAAATATAAAAGTCAATAAAATATAAAAACAAATTAAAATTAACAAAAAATTATAAAAAAGAATAAAAAAATAAAAAAAATAGAATTAAATAAATAATAATAATAATAATATAATATAATATAATTAATAATTTAATTTTAATTAAGATTAAAATTAAATTTTAAATATATATATTCATGTTTAAATTTATTTATTATATTAAATTTATTGAATTATAATATATATATTAATTTAAATTAATTTAAAATTAACAAATAAAAGAAAAGAGTTAATTTTGATTATAATACTATATAAATAAAATTTAAATTTTAATGAGAAATATATAATGAAATGAATTAAAATAATAATTAGAGATATTTTGTTATATATAATCTAAAAATTAAAAGTAAATCTGATCGAAATGTGTTCTATGTTAGGATTGGATTTTTTTTTTATTCATCTTATTTTATTTTTTAAGAAACTAGTAAAAACTATTCGTCCGAAAAAAATATCCTTTTTTTTTGATTCGATATAAAAATCTATATTATATTGTATTACATTACATCCAATCGTTTAAGGATATACGATAAAATACAAGAATGTGTGGTTGCATTTTTATATCTCAATGATATCATATTTCGTGGGATCGATGTTGGGTAGGACAACCATAAGTGTGCGGCTGGCCGTGTGTCTTCTGCGATATCGTTTCCATTTTTTTTTCTTTTCTTTTCTTTTCTTTTCACACGAATATCTGAAAATATCATATGGTTATGCACTTTGCAACGGAAGCGACATCAATGTCATCTTTACTTCCTAATGTAATTTTTGTTTCTCTAGAAACAAACAAACCCACTACATTTTATAACCTTGAAATAAAAAAGAGAAAAAAAGGTTAAGTTTTATTTTCATAATTATATTACATATATACACACTTGAACACACACCCATTCATATTTAAATCGATTAAAAATTGTCACATTTTATAAATATCAATATTTAAACGTAATTAAATTGTATAAATAATAATAATAATAATAATAATAATAATAATAATAATAATAATAATAATAATAATATATTAAACACAATATTATTATGATGAACCAAAAGTTCGTGAATTTATTGTGTTGTGTTGTTATCAAATAATGCAATTATTTTGAAATCAATAAAATGACCTTATATGCAAGTGAAATATTAGTTCAAAAAAAATTGCACGAAATTTTCACGCTCACCCTAATAATATATACAAATAATAAATTTCATTTGTAAATCGTATAGTAAGTAATTTATAAATTTAAACAATGAATATAAATAGAGTATAAAAGATAATAATGAAACATCGATTGAGGAAAAGTCGGTAAATGGTAGGGGGTGTGGGTGGTATAAGGGTGGACAAGGTGACAGGCGGAGAAATTGGGGTAGGAGAGAGGAGGGGGGAGTTCATTCACGTATGGTATAAAGGTAGCAAGAAATATTTCCAAGGGTACTGGATGTCGGGTAATTCGATTTCATAAAACATCACGTGGAAGATTTTACGAGAACTGGATATAGAAAAAGGAAAAAGAGAAAAAAGAGAGAGAGAGAGAGAGAGAGAGAGAAAGTAAAAGATGGTTTCTCTAGAGCGTAAAGAGAGCTTAAAGGCAGAGAAGTGTAAGAAGCCACCGAACCGAGACTTCGTGAGAAACATGACGCCACGTTCGTGGCTCTGAGAATGAAAAAGTTCTTCAAAACTGACACGCGGAGATTGTACTATACTATTATTACGGTTCGTCACTCTTAAAGAAAGGAACTCTCCCTTGGTTTCTTGAGAATGCAGAAGAAGAAAGATCATTTCATTCTTTTTGGCAAGTTTTCAAAAATTTCTTGCACAAATAACTTTTTGACAATTTTTACGATATTTTCCAAAAATATTAAACTTTGTATATTTTTTTATTTGCGTTTATTAAAAAATATATTATATATATATATATATATAATATCGATATTTCATATAATATAAAAAACTGAATAAAGATATATATATATATAGGTTATAAATTTTTAACAATTATTTTTTTTTCTTTTGTTCATTATCAAAGTTTTAAAAAACTTGAAAATATTTTTACGAATAGTTTTTTTTATAAGAAATAATAATTTAAAAAAAAAAAAAAAAAATAATAATAATGATAAACAGAAGGACTGATATTAGTGATTTAGTCGTTTCACAAAATGGACGAAATTGGAGGTCAACAAACCAGGGCGACATCTTCGTAGACTGTTGTTCCATTCGAGTGGAAAAATCATGTTGATGTTCCTGCACAAAAAATATCAACTTACTGAACGGTAGCGATCAGAACGATTATTTGTCGTTAAGGTTACAGAACGAATATGTTTTAGGAAACATCGAGGTAAATTTATCATCTTAAAAAAAAAAACTTTATTAAAAAAGAAAAAAGAGAAAAAAAAGGTAGTGAAAAGAAATTTTATACGCATGATCTAAAAATCATAGGATAAGGAATATTAAACAACAATTTGAAAAGGATTCTCGATCATGGTATTATTAACTTTCTTCGACGATTTAAAGAAGAAGAAATGAACTTTTTATATATAAAAAATTTATATATAATGGATTTTTTTATATATAAAAAAAAGAAAAAAAAATTAAAATTAATTCGGTTTTTTTTTTCTTTTTGTCCAGCGTTCAACAAAACTAATACAATTTAATGCAATTTAATTGTGCAATTATTGTGTTTTTTTAATTTTAATGTAATTGTAATGTAATGTAATTGTAATGTAAATTTAATTTTAATTATTAAATGTGCAATAATTAAATAATGCAATTTAAAATGACTTTACGTAACGAAACTTTTTTGTTTGTTTTAATAATAAAACAACAATATAGAACCTAACCTTTTTCTTTCTAATATTCAACTTGGTAATCTTACAATAAAATATGAACGATATTCTCTTTTTTTTCTTTCTTTCTACTTTTAGAAATGTGTTTACATTTTTAATGTTGTATTTAGAAAAAAGAAAAAAAAAAGGGAAGAAATATATAGATATTTAGGTAGATATAATATATTATCACAGAGAGGATAAGAGAGAAGAGAAAAAAATGAAGAAGACAAAAAAAAGAGACATGGTTAGGGTGTTTCGCTTCGTTTGAAAGATATCAGACTGGCACCGGTCGAAGGTAACCATAAGCCGCCATTGTCTTTTACAAAATGGAGAATGTAGAAGGATGAATAGACTATTGTTACTCTTGTTCTTGATATTACATAAGAATATATATATATATATATATATATATATATATATATTTACTTTATTTATAAATTGAAATGTTCTTCACGTATACCTATTGTTTTAATGAACCACGTCATACGTAAATCAATAATAATAATAATAATAATAATAATAATAA